CTGAACCCTCAACCCTTTTAAACCCTAGGCCCTAAGGGTCGATCGGCTTCGGAGTTTCAGATCTCGGGGGTTTCTACGGAGTAGGGTTTAGGGTTTAGGGTTATAGTGATCATGGCCCTAAATCCTGAACCCCAAGCCGTTTCGGGTTTAGGGTTTAAGGATTATGGCTGGAGGTTTCGGGCTTATCAAGACCATCGTGGCTAGGGTATTTCGGCTTTGTCTTCGGGCTGGAAGGGTCTTTGCAGACTTTGCCGGTACAAAGGCAAACCACATGACCAGGCCTGCCAGCTGTTCCTACAGTATCGGTTTAGGGTTTAGGGTTTATCTCGTCTACCTACTTTTTTTTTTATACCATTGTCTGCCCATCGACGTTTAACGCATGCACCACAGCACACAATGGGGTCCGCAGAACTCAAGGATTCAATTGTCAATGTAGAACTGATCATGAACTGTGATAGCTGTAGTATCGCTGCAGTATAACCATGGTAAGTTAACTAGAATAGAAGCACAGTAAAACTGGAAGCTATAGTCTGGTATCTAATGGTTGCAGGTGTAGCCACATAATGGAATATAACCCACACTTTGGAGCAGAAGACGTGAAATCCCTCAGCAAGCCTAATATAGGGGCCTTAACAAGTAGAATTGGGGTGTGGGGTCCTTTCTAGCAAACCTTAAGAACCCAAAACCCACTTTTTTGTAGGTTCTTATTCTAAACCCTAATTGGGATTTACAGGGACCCTACAAAAAAGTTGGGTTCTTAAGGTAGTGGTAATAAGGAGCCCCAAGGAATAATATATGTAATTCTTGAGGCCCCTGTACCCTAAACCCTAAACCCTAACTATAAACCCAAACCCTTAACAATTTCTACAAACCCTAAACCCTAAACCCTAAACCCTGTACCAAGCAGCGGCCTGGGTAGTGCCTAAAGCACCGGCCACCAGCTGGCAAAGAGGCATGCGGCCTGCTCCAAGGCCCATGTAAGGGTGTTTGAAGTTTTAGGTTTTGGTTTAGGGTTTAGGGTTTAGGGTTGTGGGTTTAGGGTTTAGGGTTTTGGTTTAGGGACAAGCGTTTAAAGTTTAGGGTTTGTTTAAGGCTTTAAGGTCTTTTAGGCTGCAGAATTTGGGGTACAGGGGTTCTCAAGTAGCCCCTGAAGGAATAGACAAGGGGTTCGGGAAGTTTCATGATGTATGTACACTGTGGAACCCCAAGAACAAGTGGCAAGACGAAACACTGGACTTTTCTTTCGCAAAGTTTTCTTTGAAAGACTACGGTAGGCAGTATAGAATTGAAGCAAGAAGAACTGCAGTCCAGGCCCCGTGAGAGCACTGACGACACTTCATTGCCATAATACCGTCAGAACATCTGTGCCCGAAGCCTTCACCAAACATCGACGCTGGCACGACTCTCCAAGAAACAAAGCAGGGCCCAAGGAAGTGACATAAGCATCTCCCGGAACCTACATAACCTTGCAAAGTGTGCCACCCCGAGAAGAGCCCCATGCACGCTCACACACACACACACACATCCACACAAAATACAACCAGTGTAACCGCCGACGGAGACACAGCGATGTCTTTTGACAAGAAGCGAGACCTCTCGTTGTTGGCACCACATGCCACATACGATATTTCCAGAGCCCGCCCGAAGTGCTAGACGACCCTGCGACAAAACCCTGTCGTGCAAACAGTGTATGCGTTTGTGAGCAGCCATAGACACAGCAGAAACGGAAAGAACCAGCCTTCTTTCTGGCAGGACCTGAGGGGCGGAAATTCAGGGCGCGAGGGCCCTTGTGTGTGCGCGCGTAAGGCATCTGGGCTGCTGAATGTCGTCAATCAACCCTTAACCCCACCCTAAACAACTAAGCTCTAAAGTTCCTCGCTCATCAGCTTTTGGAGGTTCAGGTTTCAGGTTCTATGGGCTCAAGACTCTTGCGGTTCAGGGTTTAGGCCCCAATTCCTAAAACTCTAAACACTAAAACCCTAAAGCCGAGACTAAACCCTAAAGCCCAAACCGCCACAGTAGCAACTGCCGCTCAAAGCCCAGAGCTCTTAGCCCAACTCTTGGCTTAGGCAGGTATGCAATCTTGGTTTTGTAAGACGGTTTAGGGTTTAGGGTTTAGGGTTTAGGGTTTAGGGTTAGCTTCAGAAAGCCTAAACTAAACTAATTACCTCAATTCAGCCTTACTAAGACTCATTACCGCCAATTAAGGCTGCTGCCCTCTCTTTCCGTGGTATGCAATCCTTAGCACGCTTGTGTGGGTACTCATGAGGGGTGGACAAACTGCTCCCCAGAGAACCCAATACCCCTTAATTAAGGAATATACCCTAAATCATAATATTAAGGACCCTATAGTTTAAGGTATATTCCTTAGTTAAGGGGAATTGGGCTCTACTAAGGGCCCTATAGTTTAAGGTATATTCCTTAATCATTAATTAAGGGGTATTTGGTTCTCTGGGGATCCCTGAAACCCAAAACCCTAAACCCTAAACCCTAAACCCTAAAGCCTAAACCCTAAACCCTAAACCCTAAACCCTAAACCCCCACTGAAGGAAGCATCCCATGCTTAGGCTGCGGCCAGTGTCCCGAGTCTGTTCCCCTCCGATACTCCCGAAGGCCCTGGGGGCGTCCGTGTCGGGCTTAGAGTTTAGGGTTTAGGGTTTAGGGTTTGGGGTTTGAGGTGTGGGGTTTGGGGTTTGAGGTGTGGGGTTTAGGGTTTAGGGTTTGGGGTTTAGGGTTTAGGGTTTGGGGTTAAAGGTTTGGGGTTTAGGGTTTAGGGTTTAGGGTGTGTCAAAATCACAGATCTCAAGATTCCACGACAAACCCTAGATAGCAGTAGTGTGGGGGCCTTTTTACTTAGAGTTGGTTTTGGGCTCCATAGAAGGAACCCGAAGGAATGATATTGGAAACTATTTCGGCCCCTATAATAGTATCCTCACCATAAGGACCCCAAGCACGGAAACCCTGATTTTCAGACATCCTACAAACGGTCTCCTTGGGACATGTTAGCCTCTGGCCTCCGCAGCAAGTCAACCAGTACACCCTAAACCCTGTTTAAACCTCAAAGCCTCTACCCTAGAACCTTGAACCTACAACTTCGGAAAAAGGGGGGTAACACCACTCTAGAATCCCATATCGCCCTTATCCCTAATCCATCTTGACCCTGTTTTCCCTCCGTCCGGCATGCCCACGGCCAGATGCCTATAACCTGAACCTCGCAAATCGTGAAGCTCATTGCCAAGAAGTAACCCAATAGTTCTGAACCCGAAAAACCCAAAGCCCTGCAAGCGGAGCTCAGGAGAAGGTCCCCCCCTCCAGCCTCCAGCAGCAAGTCTGTTACACTGGCGTGACCAAGACGATACCTCATTGCTCGCTTGCATGACAGGTTAAACTTTAGGTCTCGGGACTCGGGGTGTAGTGTTTGGGGTTTGGGCTGTTGGATTGAAAGGGTTTAGGGTTTAGGGTTTAGGGTTTAGGGTTTAGGGGGTTGGTCTGGAGCATGGCCCCTAATTGCGACTTTGCAGGGGTCCTGATTACAAGTACGCTGGGCACGGCCCATGCAATTCAAGAGCATCCCCCCTTTACGGGTCGCGGTTTAAAATAGAGGCCTTAATGATTAGAATAGGGTTTGGGGGCCCATTGTACTATAGTTGTAATAAGGAACCCCCCAAAATAGTATAAACAACTATACTAACCCCAAAAACAATAAACTCCAAATTCTACACCCGACCCAGTGCTAGAGCCCCCAACACCAAGCAGCAACGCAACATCTACGATGATGCTGCGAATCAAACAAAGTAAGGCTGGTGAAGAACTGCTTGGCCACCGTCATGGGGTTTAGGGTTTAGGGTCCCTCTGGTGCTGCTTGCTGCACCTAGAATTTGGAATTTTGGCTGACAGGATGCAGGGGCGCTGGGCCATGGGGTTCAAAAATAAGCTCGATCCCAATTCTTTCCCAATCTCTGTAGTCGGGGCCCTTGCACATCGTCGCGGTACTTCTCGTCGTTCAGCTTCGCGAGGGTCTTGAAGACGGAGCCGCGTGCCCTGACACCCTAAACCCCTAAACCCTAAACCCCTAAACCTCTGTACCCTAAACCCTAAACAATAGACCTGTAAACCCTGAACCCTACCAAGTCCCTAAACCCTAAACCCTAAACCCTAAACCCTAAACCCTAAACCATAACCTCTCGATTACCCTTCTACAATACCTCTGACGGTGCCCGCAGACTCTCGACTCCCAGCCCGAAAGCCGAAAAATCCAAAACCCGCCTCGTGCGCAGGAAGCTTGTCCAAGAAGGTTTAGTTTAGGATTCAGGGTTTAGGGTTTGGGGTTTAGGGTTTAGGGTTTAGGGTTTAGGGTTTAGGGTTTAGGGTTTGGGGTTTAGGGTTTAGGGTTTCGGGGCTAAGAAGGCCTGCAATTCACTGCAGTTTGATCTGAAAAGAGTGTCCGCCGACATCAGTAACCTCCGGGACTGTCGTCGGCAAGCCATCCCGATTGAAAACCTGGACAACATGCTTACGCATAACCTCTAAACCCTAAACCCTAAACCAAAACCCTAAACCCTAAACCCCAAAGCCTAAACCCTAAACCCTATAGATCCTCAGCCGGCGTCAAGATGGCGCCGCCTTTGCTCATCTGAAACTTTCGAAAGCGCTCCTTAGGTCCAAGTTTGTCCACCAGTTCCTTGAGGACGACATGAACTTTAAAAGGGTTTAAGGTTCAGGGTTTAGGGTTTAGGGTTTAGGGTTTAGGGTTTATAGGGTTTAGGGTTTAGGGTTTAGGGTCTCCATATGGGTGGTTGTCAAAGTTATGGTCCCTTTTTGGGTCCTTATTATAGTACGGCACCTATTATTTAGGGTACCCCAAAAGGGACCATAATTTTGACAACCACCCATATACCATAATAGGGATTCATGGTATAGGGGTATAGGGTCCCTATTCTTAAGGGTCTTTTGGTTTTGAAGGTTGATAAAAGGGGCAGCTCTGACCTCGATGGCTTGGTCATGTCGCGCCGGGTCTTGCGCAGCTCTTTGCCCTGCAGTTGAGCTGGCCCCTACACCCAAACCGTAAACCCCTAAACCCCAAGTCCCTCAAACCCTACATCCCTTATAGATCCCTTTAAGGAACCCTTTAAAGGAATGGTTTATGGATCCCTTTAAGGATCCCCTATAAACCACTAAACCCGCGGACGGGCCTTGGAACGGTCACAAAGCGAGTGGCGATGACGGTGGGGTTCCCTAGCTCCAGGAACTTCCACCTCTTTCGGCTTTCGGGGTTTAGGGTTTAAGGTTTAGGGTTTAGGGTTAAAGTTTAAGGCTTAAAGGGTTTAGGGCTTAGGGCTTAAAGGGTTTAGGGCCAAGGGTTTAAAGGGTTTAGGGTTTAGAGATTTTCGGCAAGAATTATGCGGGTTCCTTTAAGGTTTCAGGTTCCTATACGGGACGGTTTAGGGTTTAGGGTTTAGGGTATACGGGCGCAAAAGAGATCTAAAAGAGCCCTCCAGGTGTTTGTTTGTGCAGGGTTTAGGGCTTAAGGCTTAAGGACTGGGAGGTTTTGGGTGTTAAGATGGCGGGTTAGGGCTTTGGGCATTTGGGTTTAGGGTTGAGGGTTGGATATGTAGCCTGGGCTTATAAAGCTGTGGTTTGAAGAGTTTTATCAAGGCGGTTCAAGGGCTTGCCGTTTTTCTGTATTGGCTTTAAATTTGTGAAAGGATTTAGCAGAGAAGGTTTAAAACAAACTGTTTCACACAGCTGTCTTATGAGACGACTTGCGGCTTTGTGGTCATTGGTTTACGCTTTGTGGGGCAAGAGGGCTTCCACAGGGACGAGGGGATGTGATTTTTGATTGTTCCGACGGCGGGTTCGACGCTTCGACTCGGACTGGTCCCGAAGTAGCAGTCGGTCGAATGCAGCCGCCCGGATATGCGACCCTAAACTCGAACAAACCCTCACGACTTTGGCCCAAAGCTCTGAGACTCAGAAACCAAAAGAGGCGGGCCTTTGCCAAGACACTCTTGATCCGAATCCCAAGCCAAAACAGCAACTTGGGTTCCAATACATGCCGGATGATCAGATGGAGGCTCTTCTCCATGACAACCTCTCGACGATACTGGGCATGGGGGCCTGGATTCTCTGGGCACCTTCTCCTCGGGCCTAATCCCTAAAATAAACCCGAAACCCTAGAATCCTAGAGCCCTAAACCCTAAACCCTCAAATCTTAAAACCCTAAAAACTATGCCTAAACCCTAGAATCCTAAAACACTAAATTTCCGCAGCATGACACTGGGACTTCCACATTCATAGCACCTGCCACGTACATACCTACAAAAACGCAGATGTTCGCGTAAGGGTGTGTGTGTGTGTGCGCGTGTTTGTATATATATATATATATATATATATTTATATACATAGATAGACATGCCTATTATATAGCTGTATGTGCAAACACATGTGTATATATATATATAGCACGATCATCTATCTATCTATCTATCTATCTATCTATCCACCCATCTATCTATCTACTCACAATCTCTCATACACACACAGACACATAGAGCCAGCATGGTCTCAGCTATACCCCCTGTTATTGTGCTAAGCAACTTAACTTATATGTTATTTCGTGGTGCGCGCACCGGATTGATGTTCTGTTCGCATGTCTGTTTCGGTCGCCTCCATGTACAGGTATAAACCTCGAAATGATGACGGCAAGGTATCACCTGCCAACGGCAGACATGTCAAACCAGAAGTACCCTTTTCATTTTCTCGCTGCATGTGCCTGCCAATGCAAATCACACAGTACCGCAAGGATCCAGGTACCTATACGTCCGAAATTTACTGACCGAAATTACCACTATCTTAAACCCATCTAGCTGACTATCTGGTTCCTTGGACCCTTAGGCTACCCCAAACTCCAAACCCTCAGGCTACAGCCTAAACCCTAAACCCTAAACCCTTAGGCTACAGGATAAGCTACAGGACAAGATCCAGGAATCCGGAGGAGGGTTGTGGACCTCAATCAAAATACTAGAAGCAAACCATAGCCACATGAGGCCTCAATCCGACCTGTAGCCAAAAAGACCTACCTTTTGAGGGTTCCTCAATATGGTTTCTATCTATATATATATATA